GGATTAGGCAAATCATTGCACTTGTTGATGGATTGGGGGCCCGTGAACCATGTCTCAAGTAATTCTTGGCTCACTCGATTGTTACCTTTTGCGAGACATTCGACCTCAGCAAATTTGAATGTGTGACCGGGTCTTGTTGAATGAGCCGCAACTTGAGAATTGGCATAATTTCGCCGCACCTGCCGCGTGTTCGGCAATTCGCGTCTTGAGAAGACTGCCAGTTTCTCCGACAGTGTTGCTTTGTCCGCAACTGCACCAGATCCCTTCAGCTAATACAAACCTATATCTTAAGCCCTAACATTATCCTAACCCTAACCTAAACTCTAACCGTAATCCCAACCCTAAACCTAACTCTCAACCAGATCCTAATCTCGGAATTCGGCGGAAAACCACTTGCAATATGCCTGGTTCTCATTCCCCTGTCCGGTTTGAGCGATTCCATTCAAGTCATCCTTCCCGTTATTTCAACCTGCCACATAAATTCATAAGTCGGAATTATCAATCTACCAGTATACCCAAAAATAACATAAAACTTCCATCTTTGAGGCAGTCTCAACTTCAGCGAAAGATTTGGCTCTGGTTTGCTCAATACTTAATGACTGGAACTCGTGTTTTCTGCAGTTATTATTTCATTCTGCGGGTGTCTCAGGCGTTCACAAATGAAACGTTTGTGCGCGTTGTAGAGGAGTTGCCTGTGGCCTTTAGAAAGTACTTACCGTATCGCTCGAACACCATTTATTAACCTAACGTTTTGGGTTTATATCCGAATCCATCAACGGACACATAGGTAAAGTGAGTGTTTGGAAACCAGTAGGATCTCACAGTTCTTCTAACATACGGTAGGTGGCGCACCTCATGAAACAATTATTGAGATTCAGGTATTTAATTCCTGTTTTAAAGGTATGGTTGTGATATTCATTCACAAATTCTACACGAACACATACTTTCGTCCATGTGAAAAATCCCTGTAACTCCATTGGTTCGCTGAAACTGTTTCCAGAATATCATTGCTTGCACGGTCACAAGTTCTCAGATGTACGTCATTCTGTTGCTGACATTCTGCTTTCTTTTCCAGTAAACCGCAAGCAGTTACGGACGTTGTTCGACCAACGACATATCCGCTTCTTGGCCTACCGGAGGTCTCAGGCACGGATAGAACCAGTGTGTACAACCGGATCTTCGAAATATGCAAAGCTGCACGAAAGCGTCGGGCAGACTTTGAGGCAAGAATTGCGGCCACCACGTCTCTACCGCCATCTGCCCGAGATCAGGAATTAGAGGTGAGGACGGTAGGGCTTATTTTTCACTGCGAATTTAACCTTATTGCAGACTGAACTGTCACCTCCACGTCTTTTAGAAAGACGATTGTTTTTTTTATGTATCATCGGCGGCTAGATTCTTCTCAACCCTACCCATACATTTTATTCACGGGTATTTTCTCCCATTTCAGCATCCTGACATCAAACAGCTGCTTGCCATTTCGCTTTACTGGCGTTCCTAGTATTCACATGTTGCCTTAAGTTTTATCATACAAAAACTCATACAAAAGCTCAGCTACTACGCTCGGCTTGGTCTGTGGGGTTAGTAACATGGTGAGAAATCCTTAAT